AACAGATCTTAGTGAAACATTTTCTCCGCAAGGGCAAGGTGAAAACACTCCGAGAATTGCAAGAAAGCCTGGGTATTCGCGAATTCCCTTTCTGGGTATATTTCCAGATCAGACATTATCTGCTCTCTCATAAACCCCCTCATAACTGGCATCGCTCTCTTACCCCATTTGAATCTGCATTCGCAAAGGCTGAACCGCGGAAACATCTGATCTCGGAGATCTACCCACTTCTCGTGGAGAGCCGGTCTTATGACTCCCTCCCCGCATGTCGGGCTTGGAGGAGAGATCTTAATGCTGAGCTGTCGGACTCAGACTGGGACCAGGTCTTCCAATACTCTCATAAATGTTCCCTCAATGTCTCGACACAAGAAAACAGCTACAAAATAGCCTCTAGATGGTACCGAACTCCCTCAAGAATTCATCATTTTAACCCCGTCTTCCCCAACAGCTGCTGGAGATGCGGGACCCCGGATGGGTCCTTTCTTCACATTTGGTGGTCTTGCCCGATTCTTCAACCATTTTGGCAGGAGGTCCATAGGTTAGTAGTGTCTATAAGTACCTTACCCTTAGCTCTCTCTCCTGCTCAATTCCTCCTCCATCATTCTTCCCTTCCCAGGGCTCAGTACTTTAAATCATTAGCCATGCACATGATCAACGCAGCCAGACTCTGTATTCCGGTTCTGTGGGGCTCCACTCGCTCTCCCTCTATACGTGAATGGCTCACCCGAGTGGGTAAAACGGCGGACATGGAAGAACTGGTTGCGACTGCTCTCGACACTCCTACGAAATTCTCTCACGTATGGGCCTGTTGGACCCATTTTCTGACTACCCCGGAGTATCGATCCCTCATGGACCAACCCGTCTGAACCTGATTTGGACTTCTCGATAGTGTTCTTTAGTAGTATTTGACCTGAGGGTGCTATCATACTCCCCCCTGTGTTACACGCGCATTCTTTCGACGCCGATGAAAGCGTAGGTTCCACCCACTCCCGCTACTGTTTGTATTGAGGATAAGATATTTTTGACAGTTGTCCCCTCTCTTATTTTACCCTCCATATTTGCTTCCCTTCCTCCTCCCCCCCTCCCCTCTTTTTTTTTTTCTCTCTTTCTTTCTTTCCCTTCCTCTTTCTTTCCCTTTTTTCTCGCCTTTTCTTTTCTTTTCATATGCTTACACACGTCTTGGACAATTTTTCCAATAGAACATTGAGTAGGTGGTCAGCATCACCTCCCACAATTCGTCAGCGGTTCCCACGACAATTACTCCTACATTCACACAATTCCATCATCGTATTCTGTAGTATTGACTTCTACTTAGGCATCGTATTTGCTCGTCTCCCCCCTACAGATTTTTACCGCAAGACAATATGGTAGGAGGCCAAATGTCTCTTTCTTTTTAGCACTTGACAAGCATACCTAAATATTACAGGCACAACCCTGTCGTGGCCTAGTTCATCCACACTGTTTGGTTTTGCGTTGGACCTCATTTGCCTTTGTATGATACATGCTTTGCTGTATGTCCTATGTACACTTCATCTGTACATTTTCATTTTCGTGTGATCATTTGTATCTTGTTTTCAATAAACTTTGTTTTTTTGGAAAAAAAAAAATAAATAAATAAAAATACAAATATAATCAAATAATATTAAACCTTAATGATCATTACACCCTGAAATTAACAATTAAATAAAAAACAATTCAAGTCTATCGGCATTAAGCCCCCTAGACAACCCAACTGCAAGATCCACTTTGCGTTGTTCTGTGAGACCGACTTCCTCCTATTGCCTCCACGTCAATGGGGTTTGATTCTGTCGATCCCACAGAACTTAAGCAAAGATGGATCTCTGTTATGAAATTTCCTAAAGTGATGGGATAAACTATGATGTTTGAAACCTTTTTTAATATTTCTACTGCGTTCCCCTAATCTCACAGCCAATTTTCTAGTTGTTCTCCCTACATACTGTAAATGGCACGAACACTCCAAAAGATATGTGACATAGTTTTTTTTATTTTTGGTAACCCCCCACAGTCCTACATGCTATACATCTGCCACATCTGAAAAAATCCACCTGATCAAAAAAGGTAACCTTCTTGAGAGGTGAATCTGGGACATTCTTTACCAATCTTGTTCTAAGAGTGGGTGGTCTTCTATAAATAAACTTGGGATTCTTAGCTAGAAACGTAACCAATGTGTTGTCATGTAACAAAATAGAACAATGACTTCTAAAAATATTCTCAACTAATCTATGTTGTCTAGAGAAACCAGTTATGGAGGCCATATCAAAATTATTACCTTTACACACTTTCTTCTTTAACAGGTCATTCCTATCTAAATTGTCAATCCTATCCCTGATCTCCTTCAGTTCTTTACTTTTATATGCTTTTTCCTCAAATCTCTCAATCAACATATCTGTCTGCTTCCTATAGTCTTCTTGTTCATCACAATTCCGTTTTATTAGTGTAAACTGAGTCTTAGGAATTGCTTTAAGCCATCCTTGATAATGACAACTGTGTAAGGGAATGTAGCCATTTCTATCAACTTCTTTGAAGTGTGTGCGTGTATACAATCTATTCCCACTTTTAAAAATCATTAAATCCAAAAAGTTGACAAAGTTGAATCTGCATTACTGGTCTCAGTAAATGACACATTACTATTATACAGTATTTATAAAGCGCCAACAGTTCGCTCAGCGCTGTAAATCTATTCCTCCCCATTTGCTTAATGAACTCCTTTAATGATTCTTCCATGTCTTCCCATACAATGCAGATGTCATCTGTAAACCTCTTGTAGAGTTTTAATTCTGACCTTCTATTCGAGTATATAAACTCATCTTCCCACCTACTCATAAAAATGTTGGCTACTGAGGGTGTATACTTTGCTCCCATAGTAACTCCGGTCTTTTGCCTAAAAAAACTTATTACCATGCTAGAAAAAATTATGACTCATAGCTAAATCTAAGCATTGCAATAAGAAATCTTTTTGAATAATATCCATCTGAGTATGATTATATAGAGACCATTTGACCACTGCTAGAGCATCATCATGTATAATGTTGGTATATAAGGAGTTAACATCAACACTAGCCAGAACACAAGGCTTATCAATACAGTATATACGTCCCTCAAGATTTTAATGAGGTCTCCGCTATCTCTCAGATATGCTGGAAATTGTTTAACTAACGGTTGGAGAAACTGATCTGGGTATTCCCCTGTCAGGACTCCAGGGTATGACCAGAGGTATGTGAACTGACGCAGTGCAATACTAAAACATAACACAGTGCAAACGAACCAAACCAAACCACCCACAGATAACAATACATACAATGCAAGTGTCGTCAGGCAGGCCGGGTCAATAACAATCGGGCAGGTAGGAACAGGAGGAGCAGGCAGAGAGTAGTCAGGTCACGAGCCGGGTACAGCAACTAACGGGCAGGTAGGTACAGGGGGTCAGGCAGAGAATGGTCGGGGTCACAAGCCAGGGATCAAAAAGGAGAAGTCAGCAGAGGTCCGGATCAGGCAGGGTCAGCAACGAATCAGTCAGACAGGGACAGGGACAGGGATGCAGGTAACAAGATACAGGGGCCCAGGAAAAACACACACCAAGGCCCAGACTGCAGGTCTGGCCATCCCTTAAATACACCTGCATAATCAGCTTCAGGTGTTTGGCTGGCTGCAGGGTTGAGTCTCTGATTGCTGGGAGCACCTGCTGGCCAGCCCTGGTACTGCAGCCCACAAGGCAGGTGAGTCCCACCATTACTGGCAAGTCCATTCCTGACAGTACCCCCCCCTCAAGGAGCGGCCTCAGGGCACTCCAAACAGTCCTAGCTGGGCAAAATGTTCCACCGCCCGGGTCTGGTAACTGGCGGGATATCAAAGACTGGCACATCGGGCAGGACTCCGGGCAGCGGCACATTGGGCTGGACTCCCGGGCAGCGGCACATCGGGCTGGACTCCGGGCAGCGGCACATCGGGCAGGACTCCGGGCAGCGGCACATCGGGCAGGACTCCGAGCAGCGGCACATCGAGCAGGACACCGGATCACCAGGCGGAGCAGCAGGCTCCGGGCCACCAGGCGGAGCAGCAGGCACCGGGCCACCAGGCGGAGCAGCAGGCACCGGACCACCAGGCGGAGCGGCAGGCACCGGGCCACCAGGCGGAGCGACAGGCATCGGGCCCCCAGGTGGGGCGGCGGGCCCCCAAGGCGGGAGCGGCGGGCGCCGGGCCCCCAGGTGGAGCGGCGGGAGCCGGGCCCTCAGGCAGAGCGGCGGGCACCGGGCCCCCAGGAGGGGCGGCAGGCACCGGGCCCCCGGGCAGAGCGACAGGCATCGGGCCCCCGGGCGAGGAGTGACGGGCATCGGGCCCCCAGGCGGGGCGGCGGGCGCCGGGCCCCCAGGTCGAGCTGCGGGTGCCGGGCCCCCAGGAGGGGCGACAGGCATCGGGCCCCCAGGAGGGGCGGCAAGCACCGGGCCCCCAGGAGGAGCGACGGGCCCCCAGGCGGAGCGGCGGGCGCCGGACCCCCAGGAGGGACGGCAGGCACCGGGCCCCCAGGCGGAGCGGCGGGCACCGGGTCATCAGGCACAACAGCGGGCATCGGGTCACCAGGCATCAGATCATTTGGCTCGCCAGCGGGCACCGCGTCATCTGGCAAGGCAGTGGGCACAGAGTCACCAGGCACGACAGTGGGTTCCGAGTCAACTGGCATGACCACGGGCACTGGGTCAGACATTGGATCGTCTGGCTCGACAGCGGGCATCGGGTCACCAGGCATCAGGTCATTTGGCTCAACAGCGGGCACCGCGTCATCTGGCAAGGCAGTGGGCACCGAGTCACCAGGCACGACAGTGGGCTCTGAGTCAATTGGCACGACAGCGGGCACCGGGTCATCAGGTACCGGATCGTCTGGATCGACAGCGGACACCGCGTCATCTGGCAAGGCAGTGGGCACCGAGTCACCAGGCACGACAGTGGGCTCCGAGTCAACTGGCATGACCGCGGGCACTGGGTCAGACATTGGATCGTCTGGCCTGACAGCGGGCATCGGGTCACCAGGCATGACAGCGGGCACTGGGCCATCAGGCATGGGATTGTCTGGCTCGACAGCGGGCATCGGGTCACCAGGTATGACAGCGGGCACTGGGTCATCAGGTTCCGGATCATCTGGATCGACAGCGGGCATCGTGTCAACTGGCCTAATAGGATCATCAGGCTGGATCAGTTCATCAGGCTGGGTAGAAACATCATGCTGGGTAGAGACATCAGGCTGAATGGAGGCATCAGGCTGAATGGAGGCATCAGGCTGAATGGAGGCATCAGGCTGGGTAGAGGCATCAGGCTGGGTAGAGGCATCAGGCTGAATTGTGGGCGCCGAGGCACCAGGCTGCACCACGGAAGGCAGGTTTTCAGATGGGAGGCTGACCGGTTTGGATACTGGCAGGATGGTATTGGTTGGAAAGAACTTTCGCCTTTTCCTGGTTTTAGTTACTGGAGCACTGTAAGTAAGCGCAGGTTTGTAAACGGATGGAGCAGCTGGAGACAGAGAAGAGCTGGAGGATGGAACAGGGGAGGGAACAGTTGCTACAGAGGGCTTCTTTACAGGGTTAAAGGCAGGATAGGTGCAGCGAGTGGGAACAGGGTCCTGACATGCGGTAGATAGCAGGGTATACTGGGCTGTAACTGGAGGTGCTGTTGGGAATGCAGGAATAGAGCTTTGAAGAAATAGATTAGAAGCAGGACTGGGTTTTTGAAAGCTGACTGAGGCTGGGCCGTCACTGGGGGTGCTGTCTGGGATGCAGGAAGAGTGCCTTGAGCAGAGGAATGACGTTGCAAGCTGACTGAGGCTGGGGCAACAAGTCTGACCATGTCTGCAGTATGGGTTGAACAAAGCTCCGCTTACACAAAGCCTGTCTGACCAAAGACTGCACTGCGTTTATACAATCCCTTAATACCTGTGGTGAACATGCAGTATAATGCTCCAAGAAGCAATCCACATCATCCTCTAATAACCATACCAGGGACTCTACCTGGCCTGCACTAAATGGTGGCAAAAAGTCATTCCTGCTTTCAGGGGTACCAGATGAAGCCAACTCTACACAAACCTGAATCAAAGGTTGCACCTCAGAGAACTCTATGCCCTGACCTACTAGGGAATGAGCGACCCGTATACATTCTAGCAGTTGATCCCGGGTATACTCCCTCAGAGCCTGATAAGCATATTCTCTGTCATCAAAAACCAGCAGCGACAAATACACAACCTCATCAAGATCCATCCTTCCCAGCAACAAGCCAAGATGGCTTCCCTGTGCAGCCACTTCTGGTCAGGATTGGCCTTGGTGTAATGTCAGGACTCCAGGGTATGACCAGAGGTATGTGAACTGACGCAGTGCAATACTAAAACATAACACAGTGCAAATAAACCAAACCACCCACAGATAACAATACATATAATGCAAGCGTCGTCAGGCAGGCCGGGTCAATAACAATCGGGCAGGTAGGAACAGGAGGAGCAGGCAGAGAGTAGTCAGGTCACGAGCCGGGTACAGCAACTAACGGGCAGGTAGGTACAGGGGGTCAGGCAGAGAATGGTCGGGGTCACAAGCCAGGGATCAAACAGGAGAAGTCAGCAGAGGTCCGGATCAGGCAGGGTCAGCAACGAATCAGTCAGACAGGAACAGGGACAGGGACAGGGACGCAGGTAACACGATACAGGGGCCCAGGAAAAACACATACCAAGGCCCAGACTGCAGGTCTGGCCATCCCTTAAACACACCTGCATAATCAGCTTCAGGTGTTTGGCTGGCTGCAGGGTTGAGTCTCTGATTGCTGGGAGCACCTGCTGGCCAGCCCTGGTACTGCAGCCCACAAGGCAGGTGAGTCCCACCATTACTGGCAAGTCCATTCCTGACATCCCCTATCCTCACGAATAGGGAGTCCACCCCACTAACTATTGATATATTACTGGAGTAATGGGAGCATCAGGGGCAAGATATCTACTTTCTTTTTTATTCAAAAACCTTTCTCTTTCACCTAAAGCAACAAGTTTATTTATACTACCTTTATATTTATTGGTGGGGTTCCCTTTTAAAATTCATAGGTTTCTTGATCACTTAGTAACCTTTCCAATTCCTCATAATAATCCTTCTTATTCAGAATTTCCATTCCTCCTCCTTTGTCTGCAGGTCTTATTACAATCTCCCTATTTTTTTTCTAAAAGTTCTAAACCCTGAATGATATCTTTCTTTTTCCTAATACAGGGAATGACAAGAGCTTCTAAGTCATCTTCAACTAATTTCTTGAAAGTGTCCACACAATGATTATTACTAATTATAGGATTAAAAATAGAGTGATTCCTCAAATTAGTATGTATATATCTACCTTCATCCTACCTATCACTAGATTCTTTTTTTATCCCAACATTTCCTAACATTAAGTTTTCTAATGAATTTCTGTAGATCCACATAAATGTCTGTTTTATTTATAATTTATCTGGGGCAAATTTCAGTCCCAACTTGAGAACATTGAGCTCCTCTCAGTGAGCTTTATATCACTCAAGTTGAAAATGATTTGATCTAGGCGTCTCTCTTTCTTTTTTCCCTTCACCCCTCTATAGCCCCTCCTTCTCTTTCTCCATTCCTTACATAAGGGCCTATGGATGACAACCCCCTCTTCCTTTCCATGGTGGAAAATAAGGACCCCCCTCCTCCTGAAATGGGGGTCCTTATATATATATATATATATATTACATTTGTATAGGTTTATTTTATTGGTAATTTTTTTATTTATTTTTTATATTGCTAAGATGTGAATTGCAACATATATGGTGGCAGTTTCAATCGAGAGATGAATTTGCAGCAAAGTTAGTTTTCTTCCCTGGTGTTACGATCAGGAGGGGTGTGTATTTATGTTCCAGTTAAGGTATTCCCGTCCATTGAGAAATTGGTGAATCACAGGGTGAGAAATGCTAGTGTAGTATATCTAGCATGAAAGCCGGGGATTCTGAGTCTGTGATGACAGCTTGGAGGAAGGGCGAAACGCGTTGGCGTAATTTCTGGTTTACAATCTCACGTCCGGTGAGTAGAACGCATGCTGGTTCGGTGTTCTGTGGCCATATTTGATGTGGGCAAATCGGGCTAAATTCCCTGATTGCTGCCAATTCATCTCTTTCCATGCTATTGGGATCATATACATGTTAAAATGGATTTTGCAGCTTGCCTGAAGGAAATTGTATCTATCAAAAGGCCTGATTTATTCTTTTAAAGTGTGAGTGTCATATTTCACATGACTGTCATATGCCTTTAAGTGTTCTTTGTATTTGTCTCTGCTTATCCCTTTCCTTTGGTTTAGTTCATGCTGTATAGATAGCCCCACCCTTTTGTTCATTTTCCCAGTAATGCATTTCGGCTTCATGTCATGAAGTAGATCACATTATGATCTTTTGAATTATCCAATGTTCATTGTTGTAAGATTCTCTCAGTTTATGGAATAAACTTCACAAGATGTACAAGATATCTACTGCATTGAGTCACTGCCTGTGTTATTCAACTAAGATTGTAGTTATCACTATCTCATCAGAACTGTAAGTTACAGAGATCACACTTTCAATGCTTAGATTGGAAAGACAGAACAGTGAGTGCAATATGAATTTTTTTTTTATTAAAGGCTTTATACAGTATTATGCTATTAGGCTCTCCCCCTTCTTTTTTTGCATCCACCATCCATCCATGAGTGAAAGTTTGCGGTCTACCAGGGAAGGATTGTTGGGGGTCGTTTGAAAGGATTTGTATCCATCTGAGCTTGCAATCGATTTTTTAAATGTGAAAAAAAAATGTTTTTGTTTATGCAGTATCACACACGATTTGTTTTTTTCTTTTTTTCTTTCATCCACTCGTGAGGTATTGATTAAGAAAATACTGATGTAATCGGAAGATTTGTTTGGAAGATCTCATCTCAACTCCAAAATGTGTGTTTGATTCCTGAAGTCATTTTCCACTTGGCAGAGTGTGAGGGAAAACTTGCACCATTTAGTTTTGCAAAACTGTACAAAATTATCACCGGCTTCATTTCTTTCTCTTAAGCCATACTTTCCAACCACTGCATCTTCGAATATACATCCTACTTTTGCATTGAAGTCCCCCATGATGAGTGCTAGATCTTGATTCACTGCTTGATCTATTTCACTTTGAAGTTGTTCATAAAACAACTCTCTATCCTCCTCTTCTGCATCTGTTGTTGGAGCATACACTTGGATCAGAGTGACATTCATCGGCTTTCCCTGTAGACAGATTGAGATGACTCTATCACTGATAGTATTGTATTTTAGTACCATTTTTGAGAACTTATTGTTGAGGATAAATGCCACACTGTGTTTCCTAAAAGTTGCATGAGCAAAGTAGCATATCCAATGTTAATTTGATTGAAAGTGTCCCTGTCCTGTCCATTTGAGTTCACAGACACCTAATAAATCAATGTTGGCTTTATCCATTTGATCTTAACAATTTCTAAATGTCCTTAGTTCATACTACAATAATTACGTTCCATGTTCCTTTGATGGTAATGTCTTTACAGCTTTTGATCTTCTTTTTCTATCCAGCAACATCAACATCAGGATGTCCCGTAGGCTTTGACCCATCAGTATCCTACAAGGCTTACTCTTGGTGACAATCAGCTCTTCCCTAGGAGCATGATGAGTGCCTTCCGACCTAGGGGACCATCTTTCAACTCTATACGACAGTTCTCTTAGTTTTTTCATCATCATGAAATAATTGTATATTTCTTGAAGCGCACTTCTTCAGAAGCGCTTCAAGGAATATACAATCTAAACAATCATAAAAAAAAAATATATATGTAAAAAGTAATAAAAATCAACTATATAGGCAAGCATAAACATTACAATGTTTGTTATAAAATATTCTCTGCTCTACTAACTAGGGTCGACCTTAATGCATCATTAACCCCAAACAAATGAGGGGCATCCACCACTAGGGCCCATTCGGGGTAAGCACAGAGGCACCTCACAGGAGCAACTGGGAGAAAAGAAGGCAGCAAGAAATGGGACTTCTGACACTAGCTGTGTATTTATGTGGGTGTCTAACCAAAATTGTAATAAATAGAAACAGTAAGCCTATACGATGACAGAGGAACACGATTCAATCCGAGCAGTGGTAAACTCAAGATGCAGGCCATTTGACACACTTACTCCAAGTTGTCTTAAAAATAGAAAACAAAGGGAAGGAACATAATTGACTAGTGGGTAGCCTACAGCAGAATTATAGCATAGATCTACATATAGGTCTAAGGCCTATTAGGGGAGTTCATAACATGTGGCCTTAGTGGTGGTGGCACAGTGGCTTAGTGGTTAGCCCTTCTGCCTTGCAGTAATTGGGTCATGGGTTCAATTCCCAAACATGACACCTCCTGCATGGAGTTTGCATGTTCTGCCTGTGTTTGCATGGATTCCCTCCGGGTACTCTGGTTTCCTCTCACACTCCAAAGACATGCTGGTAGGTTAATTGGCTGATGTCTAAATTGTCATAGTTTCAACCCTGGCCACGCAGGATCTCCTGCATGGTAGGGGTTGGGGAAAGACCTGGCAACCTACCCTGTAAAATAATTGCTAAGAGAATTCATGGAAAAAGTCACGTACGAGTGATGGTCCATGCAATCGCTA